TTTACTGGTGCTAGCTGCCAAAACAAACTCCACAGACGAGGGGCTTCAACCACAGGAAGCTGTTTCCTCAAGGCTCTGGAATCTGCAAATCCAAGACTAACGTGTCAAGAGGCTCGATTTCTCCTGTGGCTCCCTCTTCAGCTGCTGCTGGCCTCACTCTGTCCTCAACAGCCTGTCCTCTGCGTCCCTGGCCCCTCCCCCATGTCACGTCCTCTCCGTCCTCTTCATAGGAGGATGTGGGTTGCGCTGCATCGGGACACGCCCACATGGCCTCTGTTGACCTCGCCTGCCTCTTCATAGGCCCTTTCTGTGCCCACAGACACACTGGAGGGTTAGAACTTCAGCGTGAGATTTCGGAGGGGGCCAGGGAGATAGTTCAGTGGTCTAAGCGCATGCCAGGCAAGCTCAGGGATCAAGTTCTATCCCTAGTACCACATGCCGTAAGGGCCCAGGTCCACCAAACCGGCCACTGAAACCGGATGTGGTGGCACATGCCTATAATTCCCGTGCTGGGGAGGCTGAAACAGGAGGATCACTATGAGTCTGAGCTGCATAGCAAGACCCTGTACGAAATACACAAATTAAAAAAAAAAAGAATTAAGAGGGAACACAATTAGTTTCTAATAGCAAGTAATCTTTCTTTGTTGCTTAAGAGCGCATTACACCTATATTGGAACTTCTTTTTTACTTTTCTTGTGTGTGTATTTGTGTGTGTGTGTGTGTGTGTGTGTGTGTGTGTGTATTTTTAGGGAAGTGTCTACAGGGTGTTCAGGGTCTCACTACTAGATCGGACTTCTAGTGATCCGCCTGTTTACAGCCTCCCAAGAGCTGGGATTAGAGGCGTGCACCACCAGGCCCAGTCTCAACTGCCATCCCAGCGCGCCCTGGGGGCAGGGCTGGCACGGCAGTGCTGGGGATGGAACCCCTGTCCCCTACACCTGCTTGCAGGTGCTTTAATCTGCTGAGCTACTTGGCTGGCCCTGTAACTACTGATTTACAAACAAGCTTGCAAACACTGTGTCTAGAAAGGACTCTTCCTTTGGCCTGAGACCAGCTCTTGTCTTTTCTTTCAGAAGCCAGCAGCAGCAGAAACTCCACCATGACTGTGCCCCATGCAGACCCGGAGACCCTGGAGCACTGCCCCAGTAAGTTTCCCTGTCCCCTCCCCTGCCTCAGGGCTGGCCAGGGAAGCTGGGTGGGGACCTGAGAGCCCTTGCTGTCAACTGATTCGTGTCAGGTGGCTGAGTGCCTGCCCTGCCCTCCTGGAGCCCTGGTGGCTCAGTGGTTTGTCCCAGCACTGTTTGTTAAGCGGGTCACAAAGCTCTTTTGGCCTTGATCCCAGTCTAGGTTCATGAGCGTTGGCACTGATGGCTTTGGGATGTGTCCTTTTGTCAGCACCCTGAGTTCAAATGCTTGCAGAAGTTTAGAGGTAGGAAATCCATACCAATCACCAGCCCAACTTCCGCCCAAGGCATGAGCTTGGTTTTGGTATCTTTTACTTAAGGAGCAAAGGAACCACTGTCACCCATGTCTAAAAGTTTTGCTTCAAGTGGGGCCTCCTTATCCTGCCCTCACTGAATAGCCAAATATGTTTACTTCTGGATCCTGGAAAAAGGTATGATAGGCAATAATATGCGCTTGTTAACAATTTGCACTGGATTCCCACAGACTAGGGTTTGAGCTGTACTTCGGCCACCCTGCAATGTTGGGCAAGTTACATTCCCAGTTCATTCTCATAAAACAGGAGTAATAATTGTAACAGTCACAAGCTGGGGGCGCAGCTCTGTGGTAGGATGCATGAGTCCCTAGGTGCAATCCCAAGCACCAAACAATCACACCCGTCTGTCCTCTTGTGAGAATCTGCCCTACAGCGTGCGGCCCACAGCAGATGCTTACCAGTGTCAACCTCTACCTGTTCGCTGTTCGTTGTTCTTGTTTCCACTGCTGCTCAAACAAGAGCTGGCCAGTTGGCGTGGTGCATCCTGTTCTTGTTGTTCCCTCCCCACCAGACATCGACTTCTGTCCGCAAGCAGCCCGGTGTTGCCGCTCGGGTGTGGATGAATACGGCTGGATCGCGGCGGCTGTGGGGTGGAGCCTCTGGTTCCTCACTCTCATCTTGCTCTGTGTGGACAAGCTGATGAAGCTGACCCCGGAGGAGCCCAAGGACCTCCGAGCGTGAGACCGTCGTGGCCAGCACCGTCACTGTGTAGCTAGTGGAGGGAGGAGAGGAATGCATCCAGAAGTGTGACTGCTGTTGTTTAAAAGTTGTTTTCACTTTAAAGCTAAAGCTTGCTCATTCATTCATTCATTCATTCATTCATTCATTCATTTGGTGCTGGGGAACAAACCCAGGGCTCTGGAAATGTTAAGCACGTGCTCTGCTACTGAGCTACAACTGTAGCTCCCTTTCAGCTACTTTCAAAAGGCACAGAACATGCCAGGTGCGGTGGCACACTCTTGTAACCCCAGAACTCTGGGAAGCTGAGGCAGGAGGACTGCAAGTTCAAGACCAGCGTAGGCAACTTAGAGACATCCTTTCTCAAAATAAAAAGTTTAATGTGTGTGTGTGTGTGTGTGTGTGTGTGTGTGTGTGTATGTGTGTGTGTGTGTTTGGGGGAGGTGGTGCTGGAGATGTAGCTTAGTGTGAAGGCCCTGGCTTTGGTCCCCAGCCCCACAGAAAAGGTGGGATGGAAGAAGGAGAGGGTTTCAAATAAGGCAGTCCATTTGTACCTGACTCTGAAGGGCCTCTGCACCCCATGACCCTCACTGTCCAGAGAGAGCCCACAGGCCAGTGCCTCTCTTCCCCAGAGCTTTCTTCTGTGTGCCCAGGGAATTAGCAAGACATCTAAACCTTGGTGCTGTAGCCAACACATCTGAAAAGCAGAGTAACTGTCATCTCAAGGCACATGGTGCCCCCATGGCACCTGTACCACCTTCTCCTCTCTCCATCTTTGTTCTTCCCATCCCCAGGCTAGCCCCCCATCCTGCTAGCCCCCCATCCTGCTCTCCACCAGCACCCTTGTCCTGGTCTTCACATTTCCCTGCACTCTTTCAGGGAAATTTCATTTTATTCCCGCTTTCTGTGGCAGCTTTCTACTCTATCCACTTCCAGTGCAGGAAGCAAGCAGCGCAGGCATGGCACTGCCTGCTACCTGCTGCCAATGCCCGGAGCTCCTGATGACTGTGACTTCCCAGCCTGCACCTCATCCTTTGAGTGCAAACACCCTTCCTGCACACCCACTCCTCATGTTTGGGCCCACAGCTTCTCTGCTGCCACATCCTTTGCAGGGACGACTGCTTTCCAACTGTACCTCAAGCATAAAGGCCACTTTGTGGCATCCATCTGCAAGACCTGGTCAGCCTGGAGCCTGCCCTGATCAGCCTGTGGTCCCCCAGAGCTGGTGCTCTTAGACACTTCTGCATTGCTATGCCATTGCTGTGTGGATGGGCCTCTCTACCACCAGTCTATACCTCCTGTGCTCCTGAGGCAGAGTAAGCTCTTCAAGTTTGCCCAGTGCATGGATGGATGGATGGATGGATGGATGGATGGGCAGATGGGTGGGTGGATGGACAAATGGATGGATGGATGGATGGATGGATGTAGATGGGTGGGTGGATGGACAGATAGATGGATGAATGGATGGATGGATGGATGGATGGATGGGCAGATGGGTGGGTGGATGGGCAGATAGATGGATGAATGGATGGATGGATGGATGGGTGGATGGACAGACAGACAGATGGATAGATGGATGGGCAGATGAGTAGGTAGATGGACAGATGGATGGAAACATGGACAGGTAGATGGGTGGACAGAAAGATGAACAGATGAGCGAGCATGTGGGTGTATGGATAGATGGATGGATGAATAGATGGATGGATAGATGGACAGACAAATGGGTGGGTGATTAGGTGGATGGATGGATAGATGGACAGACAGACAGACATGGACAGATGGGTGGGTGGGCAGGGAGATGGATGGATGGAAATGGATGGATAGATGGATGGACAAACAGAAAGATGGACATAGGTGGGCGGACAAATGGGTGGACGAGTGAATCCTTCTCCTGGCCAATTTATGATCTCAGTCTCCACTCAGAAGCCTCATCTTCCCCAGGTAGATGGACAACCAACCTCTAAAGCACCCACTTTGTCACTGCTCTCAGGGAAGGGCAGTCTCATCACTTATTAGGGAGGTGGCCCTTGCATTATCACCGTGAACTCCCCCAGTGCAAGGTGACAGGGAAGGGATGATGGTTTTTATCTGAAGAGACAAAATGACTCCTTGAGAAACAGTCTCAGCCTTTTTGAGAGAAAATATTTAGATGGAAGAAACATTATATTGAGAAACAGAAAAGAAAAATTAGAGACCTCTAACATAGGAAGGAACATCTTCTAGGGGAGATCAGTAGCCTAAAGTTGCTTGACTGTCTTTTAGGAACTCTAAGTACACTTAGATTGCCTGGCTTCTTATCCACTCTGCCAAAAAGCTGGATGATTTCTGAAGCTCAAAGTTTTTATTGGTATAATAGATGAATTTATTGATCCTACATGTTAAATGACTGGAAAGTAAAAGTTGTGCACACTGTCTGGTGCACTGTTCGGGACACTCACACGTTTATATTCTACTTTTTTAGAAATTCAAAGAAAGGTTCCACATATGCACCGGATTATTTCTCAAGAGATGAAAAGATTCATTCAGAACCACTATGAACTGCATAGCAAAACCCTGTCTCAAAACATGTTCTTGCTGGACCTGTTTTCTAAATGGAACATGTAAAAGCTGGACCACAACAGCAGCTTCAGGGTGGGTGAGAAAAGCTCCCAGAGCAATGTCAGCCACAGCATGTAGGGTTGGGGTGCGGTCTCTCTTGCCCTTCCAACAGCAGAGCAGTGGGGGAGTGCAGCGCTGGAAGCATCAGACCTCCCGCTGCGCTGGTGGGCGGGGCCCGGGGCCATGTGCTGATTCAGCAGTGCTGCCCCTAGGTAGAGAGGGGCACGTCATTCTCAACGCAGGTATTTATGGGGTATGCATGATACTTCAGCACATGGCCCACTGTGAGCCCATCAAGTCAGGCTAATTCACACTTCCATCTTATTATTACTTCATGGGTTTTTTTGTCAAAAAGACCAAAAAAAAAAGCCACCCCAAGCACCTTGCTTTGCCTGCCTTACAGAGTCGCCACAGAGCAAGAGAATAGCTCTAATCTTCTGCCTGACACCAGCTATCACCATGGTAACGACCGGGGCTTGTTTTCCAGTATCTGACATTCTGAAAAAGACAAAATTGTGGGGAAAGTACAAAGCTCAGGGATTTCCAAGGATGACTAGGCACAGTAGCGAGGATTTTTTCAGGCAGGGAAATGACTATGTAGTCAGTGGATACATGTCATTATAGACTTGCCCAAGGCTGGGTGTGATGGCACGCATGCCTGTAATCCCAGAACTCAGGAAACAGAGGCAGAGGATGGTTTCAAGTTCAAAACCAGCCTGGGCTACAAAGTGAGCTCAAGGCCAACCTGAACTGCATAGCAAGACTCTGTCTCAGAGAGAGAGACAGAGAGAGAGAGAGAGAGAGAGACAGAGACAGACAAAGACAGACAGAGACAGAGAGACAGAGACAGAGACAGAGACAGAGAGACAAAGACAGACAGAGAGACGGAGAGAGATAGGGTCTCCCTAAATTGCTAAGTTGCCCAAGATGATCTCAAACTTGCAATTCTCCTTCCTCAATCTCTCAGACAATTGTCTGAGATTTCAGACATGTTCCATCATGCCTGGCTGGCTACGTGCTTTTATATTTATGATAT